CTTCGCGCAGACAAGCAAGTGTGTCAAGGCTCACCATCACCGCCGCCGATGAGTGCACATGTGCCGGTCGCCTACGCCCGTCTCAAGACCGAGCCACTATCGCGGGTCCCCATAAGGACACAAACCGACCAGAGAAACCGATTTCGTGATTGGTTGGGAGGCGTCTTCGGATCCTGCAAGCCTGCGCAGAGGCACAGAACACACACACATCAACTGGAAGCTGTCCTTCCAGCAGCTTGTTTCTGAAGAGTCTTTTGTTAGCTCCCTTCTTACAGTACGCTGTCAAACCTTATCGGTCTTACCTGACTTCCGACCTGGGTTAACCTTCTGTAGTCGGCTGTCACTTATTTCGTCAAATCTTATCAGCCCACATGTGTCTTAGATTAGGCAGGACTATTCAAACTAGGCGGTAGTATTTGTGATGCAATCTATTTCGGTCATTCGAAGATGTCGGCTTTTGAAAGTATTTCTATTCGGCCGTCTGCAAAGAAAATCCTAGGTAAAAAATACTATTTAGTATTTAGAATGCATCCCTGTTTTATCGACCGCCGCATCTAGATAGAGGCCTCCTCTCGAGTGGTTCAGTTTGCACGCAAACCACAAGTGTCTGATGGAAAAAATTTCACAATCAACGGCAAAAGAATCATCAGTTGACACTACTAGTGTTCCAGGCGTGGTCCTAGCCTAATTTTATCAAAAGCCATTTTGAACCACCCACCCCCCTCGGTAAGGGCAAGCTACAGCTATCACTAAAGTAACCCTAAACAACACAGTTATATTTTAAAACTTAATTCCGCATGCAGAGATAGACTTTTCATTGCGCAAAGTTACCAGTAATAGAAATCTGCCTTATTAGTTCGATGTTTCCGTTGTATCTGTGTATCTGCATATTTAATATGGAGCAAGTTTAATTTCGGTTGCTTTTAAATAGTCTTTAGGAATGATTCAGAGTAGACGTAATGGTTATTTTAATCGGCTATCGCTACATACCTGTCGTTTACGTATTGCAGGTTTTTGGAGTTAAGTGATCCTATAGTACTATCATTAACTTCCCTAAATATCTCCTAAGCAGCCCTATGCTTTTAGACGGTAGCAATGAATAAGAGGGCCGTAGACTTACCCAACACACTGATGGTCTTGGCTTGAACCTTTCTGCCGATGTAACAGTAAATTGCCGCTGGGGTGTCATTATAGATCTGTCGCGTTATCGTAAATTCAAAACCCTCCGAACCCTGCTGAATATCTGATGGAAAGAATAAAAAAACATTAAAGTTTGCGAGAATGGTTAAGGCGAAAATAAAGACAATTCCGAGAGTTTATGAAATCAGACGAAAATGTATCATGACCCCCACGGTCCAAAGTTGAAGATCTCAACATTGGTTGACGAAAGAATTCCAGATAAATGAAACATGCTACTATAAAATATGAAGTAACCTTTTTACATTGAGACATGATTTTTGTAAGATGGCCATAGAGCATGGACATGGACAGGGAACACTGATAGAACCTATCAAATAGTACACAAAGTAAAGTCATCTATCGTGACAGGGAAGCAAAACGAAAATTATTATAGTGAGACATAGGATGTGCAATCGCTGGAATAGGACATTTCTTCATCAAACGCTTTGGCATCTCACAGAAGAAGCTCTTCAAGAACCAACCGGGCCTAATTATGTCTGTCCTGTATTCAGGATTGCCGCACCGTCTGATATGTCTAATAACTGCTCAGGGACGCATGCTTATTTACCGAAACTTATTTTACTACTCTTATTATCCTTTTTCGGGTTATAGGACATCCCGCAGTCAGAGTATATTATCT